TGAAATAACTGAGAAATGAAGGGAGTCAGTAAGCCTCACGTAAACGGCAAACGTCAGATTCAAGTTGAGAATTTCTCAAAAAGGAAAATGAGCAGATAAAACAGCTCAAAACAATATATTATTCTTATGGATAAAAAAATACGCGCAACAACTAATTATAATGAACAGTTAACGACAAGTAATGGGGAAACTTGGTCACGTTGTACAATTTGACGTAAACGCTTTGCCCTGCTAGACCATCACTTGTTTGGATGACCACGTAAAATAGCGGTCCCATCTCCAGTAGGAGAGGCAAAAATAGTGTTCTCAATTAGTACACTCAAATAAAGTTCATTTTTTATTGCCCCGAGGAGGGATCATAGAATTTCCTGCGAGTATATATGTAAGGAAAAAAAAAGGTGAGAAAAACAGTCAAATTTATACCATTTAACATTATATTCAGTATTTATTTACAATAGAAATCTTCACAAGCATGTAATCAAAGGCGGGGGCAGTTGTAATGAAAACTATTTCTAGTTTATATAACTTGCTGACTCGTTCTTGGAAGTCTCTACATTTTGATGCAGGAGCGAAAGGGATTCCTTTCTGTCAATAATGGTGAATGAAAAGGTAAGGGATCGGACCTCGGGGCAGAGCGTCCCTGTATCCCCGTACCTCGCGGGACTGTATGGCAGACCTTGTTTCCGTTGTCTTTGCGCTGTGACAGCCGACCCGAGCAAAGTCATGTGATCCTACCCAAAATGATCTGCGTGCTTTTAAATCTTCTCTTTTTTAATTTCAGCAGGGACAGTTGAGGGTGTTTCTCATTAGAAAAATACACAAATCAAAACATTAAACGTAAAAATGAAAACTTACAATTGTTCGGTTCGTTAGGCCAGGAAATTGGCTCTTATTTAGGGGTTCTCATAAGTAAGCCGGAGCATGCCAGGTTTGTAGAGGAGAACTTCTAGCTTAATGAAATACAGGTTTAATTACTACAGACGTTGTAATAATCACATAAGCATAAAACCATTTATTTCTTTCAGAAATAAATTTCATTTTTGTCCATCAACAGAACCGCGGACCAAAAACATCTCTTAAGCAATAATTTTCCTAATATAGGAAAGGAAACATGGATGCTGAGGACAGTACCGATCGCATACGCAGCCTGCGGTGAAACGCTTTCCTTTCAATGCAATCTGTTCCTTGCAAATGGCGAGAAGGTTACATCTCCATAAACCATGATAGTTTATTAAGCAGTTTTCTAAGCGCCATTATGAGTGGTAAATGAGAGACCAGATATATGTACCCTAAGATCACGAGTCCTCTCTATAATAAAAGATTGCCCTCTACTGTAATACAGCATGTTTTGTTAACCTCACTGGTAAAGAAGAAAGTATGTGTGACAGGAACAGAAGCAAGAAATGTGCTTGTGGAAGTGGTTTACCAGACTATTCGTGCAACCGTAGCGAAACAAAAGTCATTCATTTAAGAATTAAATAGGTCCGCAATCTGTTAAAAGTATGTGAAAGTCAGCAATTCAATTGGAAGTCAAACGTTCAAAAGTTAAGCTTGAACTCAAAAGGATGAATTTTTCTGATTTCAGTCCTTCTCAGTTTGTCAGTTACAGGTCTGTCCAAAGCTATGGCCAACGCTTAGCTATAACGTCCAATATACTTTCATTTTTCAATGATTACAGGCGGACAATGAAGCAACCCAGAACCTCGATACAACGAACCTCTTTTGTATAACGATGTCCTCGTTATAACGAACAATATTCTTCGCCCCAGTAATAAGCTAGTAATAGCAAAATATATGGAAAAGAACCTCGATATAACGAATTAAACCTCGTTATAGCGAACCTATATTTTCGCAATCACTTGGCCCTTTAAATGTTAAATCGAGGTTTCACTGTAATAACGCTCACCAATTATCAACTACTCTCCACAAGAAGTTACACATGCACCTAGTACGATAAGAGTATACTATATATTGCTTCAGAGTTGTTTGATATGAACTAGCAGCGCGCGACAGATTCAGCGGTTTGTAATCACTTACTACACATGCAGAGGAACGAAAATTAATTAGTCATCACATGAAGGTAGCGTAAATTTGGCGATGGCAACCAAAGATTTTATTCACAGTCTCCAAACGTTAAAGACTGACTCCCAAGCCGAGTCCCTGAGAGATACAGGAACTTGAGAGTTAAGGTACACTAAAACTTTAGAATTGTCAAACTATACACTGCATGTTAGAGCTAAAGTACGTATAGGAACTCTCAACAAACACATGTCGAGAGCAATCTTGTGCAGTCACCGCTATTATTTTATCCGTCGGCGACTACACCTCAGTCATCTCATCCACAGCTTGGTGGCTAACACTTGGTTAAATTAAAAATAAAATATTTTATTTGCAGCATGACTCAGTACGTATTTCAACGATTCCCTTTCTTCCCTCAACCGAGAACTGAGTAATAATCCGAGAGGCCAGCTGTTCACGCTCTAAATTATCCTGTGATCATTTCCTCTTAATAGTAGGATAGATATAAATGGCACATATCAAAAATATATCTTTGAAAAAATTCCGGAAGGTCTTCCGTCTTTGCGCTCGATTTACAACAGACTACTTTGATTATAAAATTAGTATAAACTCGTTGCTTACAGACAAAAACTTACATCAGCTATGCCGAGCCATTATCGGGCTCAAAACAGCGAAAATACCTTAGAGTTCTAACTGCCTTGCTATCATCCCACCAAGCATGGTATGCCGTTTGCAAGAATTCATTGGTATAGTTGCTTCGGTGTAATGCAGAGAGAGATAACCACTCTCTAAAGCTTGAGCTAAATACAAGACCACACAGACTTTTAAGACTGATCCGATGAAATGGCACGGAAGCGTCGTGAGAGCTGGGATGGAAGTTAAGCGGTTAGGTTCAGTAACTTGGTCTGTGATAGTTATATTTACTAAGAGGTGTTAAAAATGATATTTGTGGGTTACACTGGGTAATTTGTTTGCGTAATGTACCGATAAAAATATTTTTTTATGAATTTTTAGTCTTTCTTTGTTGGGTACCGAGGGGAAGCAATAATAATTAACCTCTTATCTTCACGTTTTGAAGACAACAGACGTATTTTTGCGAAGTATTTTGCATAACGGAGAGCATTTAAACATCTATCCTGGACAGAATACCCATTATTGTTCAGTTGAGTGGATATTTCCTATTTGATTCTTTAAGACTATAGAAAAACGTAGCTTATTAGTTTTGTCTGTAAACAGAATGTGCGAGATAAAGAGCCCCAAACAAAATATTTGTGTTACTCAACCTCCCTTGTTTTGAAAATAGCCTCGGCACTACATAAAGAGAAGTTATTTATCATGGAACATTTGATAGAATCACTTGAAAAAAACTCCCTTTTTAAGTCCCAACACTTGAAAAACAATGAAATATTTTACGCATAAGGAAGACATTAAAGCCGTGGGAATGTCTTAAAATGCCGCGACGGGAAAGGCGGCCCAGTCGAATCCATATCATATCCATGAACTTACACTTACGCTGCGGCTTGTTGAAAATCTGGCTTAAGATGGCTATCATTTTATGAAGAGCCGATGAAATGCAATCTAGCCAAGATCAAAGGAACTTAACGTACGCCATTCGCTTTTAATTAAAGCCTAGAGAGTTGTAAAATAATTAGACATCAGGTCTGTCAAGTTTTTACAAGTTTTCCACCCAAAATTGATTTGGGTTTTTCATTAGGGTGGCCTGGAATGTTAAGTTTTTGCGCTAGTTCTAAGTTTTCAATACTTTTGGCGCTCTATCAGTCGCTCAGGGATTTTCCTTGTTTATAATCCACATAATAAACCTATTGTTCTCATGACCTGTTATCAACAAGGCCATTTTACAAAGGAAGCAGCACTTAGAGACCAATTGTTAACAATCGGAAAATCGTACTTACAGGAATTCAAATAAAGTTGTTCATTGTTCCCCAACTGAAATCTTGGCGTCCATGATTTGGGAGTTAATACCTGCTGCCTATTCCCGTGACATAAGTTTTCCGCCCACCTGGAAATTCAATGTGCCTTTTTTGTCATGCTTTGCATGACATTTGGAGCTATTTTTGAATATGGTAAGCGTGCTTCTGAAATAACATTTTTCCCTAGAGAGAGCGTAATTGCGCAATTAATATGACATCACAACTTTGTCGTATAAGCGGTTAAACAGTGAAGACATTGGATGAAAGCTGATCGTTATGGTAAGATCTAATTTAGCAGGCAGAAGTTCTCTGGTCAAGTTTACAAGACACAACGGATTTTATGTTCGTGCTCGGCGAGATCACGTGGGCGCTTCTAGCTCAGATGTCACCAAGAAAAAGCAAAAAAACGCCGCGTCAAGGGTATAAACCATCAAACGTATCTTCGCCGTGGCAATTTACACCTGCGTGCGCGAAACAAACAATGTTGAATCATTACAGACTATTATTCATCAACAAACTAACAGTTAAGAATAAAAAACACATTAACAGCAAGTAAATGAATAATTTAGAGATGAGAACGCGGGGCAAGAAAAAAAAATTATGCCAACGTTAATGCGTTAAACAGCTGAGAGAGTGCGGCACATGAAAAGAAACTACCGTGGAGAGTAATATTATCAGATTAGGTGGAGTGTTTGTTTTGATTGTCGCTGCAGAGATTTCGACAAGCCGACTGTAATAGTCAAGAAATTTCGCCTTTGCGGTGAAAAAATTCAAAGATGACGACCATCGCTACCTTTGAGGTTAACGCTTTGGAGCAACGCTTTCAGAGACTTATTGGGCAAAGGAATGCTAGAGGATAAAGTTCTGCCTGTATCGTACCGACAGACAATAAACTGAGATCGATTACACTTTAAGCGCGGCGGCCTGGTATCGTTTTCAACTCAGCTAGCGACTGCGCGATAAATGCTTCCCTGGGATTCATGCAAACCGTGCTTGTCAAACAGTCTGCTACAAAGGAGAAAGGGAAAGCTGAAAACGTTGTTGGAAATCATGTACCCACGTGGCTTTAACTATAACAGGCCACCTTATCCTGTGTCTGCACTCGAGTCGCACTGTCCTCCACCTCTATCACACCCGCCTTATGTTTATAATGCCCCTTCCCGTTATACATGCAGCTCATATCCCAGTACTGGTGCTTATCCAGTGCAAAATAGTTCGCCTTCTTATGGTCGTATGCCTCAGCCGCTGACGCATTATGAAGACCCAAGGTATATGGAGATGGCACCACGAGACGAGGCAGTCATTCCGCTGCATCATCTTCCACAACGACCGCAACACGGCAGCGCCATGGACTTCTCAGAACACCCCAGACAATCCATGGAGGGAGCCTGTCATTTGCTCCCGAGTTGCGAACAAGGTAATGAGACTATCTTATTATTGGTGTTCACAAAGATCAACCCCTCGTTAAGTGTTATGACTTCAATTGAAGCACTTAGCACTTTGTTTGGCATGCACTTAAAATTACTTTCAGCGTTCATCAGCTTTGCCAACATAGCACTGACAACTGGCGAGTAAATTCGTGGAGGTGTGAGCGATGAAACGTTAATTTTTTTGTGAATTCACTTAACCCTAACGATGGTTACTCTCAAACCCATTTGTCGGAATGCTATACTAACACATCATATATGCATGGAACTAGTCTACTAACTAAAAGCAAGTGTGCATAGCAAGTAACTGAGTAATCAGTATTATAAGGAAGTGAGATTGATTTCTAATAGAAACGTTTACCTTAAATTTGTCACTACAGTAGATTACTGCCTTCAAATTAATATTTCCTCTAAATCCGTAAAACAAAATAACTTTAACACCAAAGTAACTCAATTTTATCTTTCTGTGGTTTTCACGAATCAGTTTCATGTACAAAGTGTTCTCCCTAAGCTAAAATGATGAGCTTGGATCTTCCTAATCTGTTTGTACTGACAAATGTTAGTGCTTCTTCAACTAGATTATCCATGAGCAGTCAATACACATACTACTGCATATAATGTACTGATACGTAACGTATCGTTCTAGTACACTTGAGTCTGTATGTTAGTAAATAGACATTCTCTGGAACCGATTTTAACCTCAAGAAGGACTTCAGCGAGGAACCTAACTAGAGCAAAAATATAGGCACTGTAAATTTCAAACTGATTCAACAACTCACCGGTATGTTCTCAATAACTTTCAATCCCTCAGATAACGGAATAGTCTTGTAGATCAGTTATGATAAGAACGTTTTAAAATACAGCCGATATTTGTAATCATTTGTTTTGCCGTTCTTTTTTGATATTCGTGGTTAACCGCTATCACTAATAGCACGTTTGAATTGGAGGAATTCGTTCTGTTACTGCACATCACTGAAAAATCGATCACTTCAATGCTGATATTCTTTATCGAGAGGCGAACTCTTTATAACAGATCAGCATCTGTTTTTTCGGTCGGTTTTTACTGCTGGTTTTGGCAGTCATAATGTTTACAACTGCATAAAACAAGTAAGAAATTATTAGCTTCATTTATAAAATGCTTTGGACTCTAAGAGAGATTCACAATTATTTATCCGTGACTGCGTATTAGCTGCGGAAGCCGAGTAGGCAAAGCTTTCAAATAATTTTGGTGAAATTCCTTTAAACCTTTCATAAACACACTCATCTTTATTGGGGATAGTTTCTAAGTTTCCACTACTTTCGTTTAGCCCCCTATCGCGATGTTAATTCTTCACGATTATCAATTAAAGTCCGTTCTCAGTCCCATTCAGTCTTTGCAGAGCTGAATAATTACATACCCTGACTGTCAAGGAAGTTCTGGCATGTAATAGGCTGTTTGCAGGATCTCTAAACATTTGAGTAAAGAGTTCTAGTTCAGGTCAGTCGAAGCTGGTCAGGACATAAAGGTAATGAATTTTTATGTTCGAGCAAGTAAGTGAAAGTCTGCACCACGTAAACTAAAGGCTGCTTGGCTAGTCGCAGGCGCGCAGAACGCGAGGTCGTTGTGGTCGCATCGAAAACTGTTTAGATTCCAGAAAAATTCTCAAGCCTTGGCTTTGAAAAGTCATCTTTTCGTTTGTACAATCAACACCCATAACAAGCGGAGATAAACCTTGAAGGTCTCAACTCCTAAAACGGTAAAAATATTACTTCAGAGGACAATTCAGACACGGAAATAATTTTGCGGTACCATGTTTTCCGGATCGCCCTCAGTTAAGGATCGATTCGTCGCATCTTCCAAGGAGTTGAACAAAAAACCTCAAAAGCCAAGGCTAGTTAAACGTAAGAATAAAGACGGCAAAATTATTCATTATATATTTCGATCTAGGACCAGATTTTGAATCTCTAGTCTTGCTGGTAAAGCTTGTATATCAGTATCTCCAAAGGGCATACTAGGCAAAACCACAAAGAGTGCGGACCTAATCATATGGTTTTCAAGTCTTTGCGCTTGGTTTCCACAGTAAAATTTCCCTCTTGCCTTAATAAATTCCCGACACCCTTGGAAATAAACGGCTAAAAGACTGACTGACTTGATCCAGTTTCCGACATCTCTTCTTCGATCAAGTCACTTCAGATGCGCTCAGCGTAGTCTGTGCACCCCGCCTTCTTGAATTAGGGCTTTCCACAGTGGATTATAGATACTATGGGAAAACTGGAGCTATAAGAACAAATCATACGACACTCATCTAGTGGCAAAACCGGGAGCAAATAGTAGTAGATTCTATTTAAAATAAGGGGAAAAGTAGGAACCTTCAGTTGAGACAAACCATGACAAAACGTTCTCTGAGCCATGCGACTCTCGTGGAACACAAAGTGCAAGACACTTGTGTGCAAGATTTAAGACTCGGTTGTCGTAACTCTTAATTGGGGAATATTTCCCGCAAACAGGAGTGAGCCTCAACTGTATTCCGCTGCTGCTAGTAGCGGCCAACTGTTAAGCAAAACTACAGGGAATCTGGCTTACGGCACACAGTGATAGCGAATGTGTGATGGCATTAGGAGGGTCCACTTCAGTTTATTAAACTGGCATAAAAAACACAGCATTGTTAGGTTGCTAATGAAGCATTTCGAATAATGCAAACTTCTTAAAGAGTCAAAAACTGCAATTTCATATCTTTTTCTTTAGTATCAGTTGAAAAATACATGTTCTACTTTGGTTGTTTTCAATTTACTCTGACTGAATTTAGGCGGGCTTATTAATAGGAAGAAGCGCCTGAAATGAGCCAAAGGTACGACATCCATCTAGAGTGTAACAATTTTCAATGTTTCTTATCGTTTTATTCATGTTTCATAAGTTCTACATGTGATTTAACAAATACAGAACAGGAAGTTTCTGGCATGTATAGCCATTGGAATAACCTACTACAAGGGTCTACAAGGGAAAGCGCCTCCAAAAAGTTTTAAGTCAATTAGAATTGTTTGGCAAAATTCCGAGTTTTGGAAGCTTAACTTGCTTCGAAGGACTGACAATTACAATCATGTATGCAATAAGGCCTGGCCTGGCAGTCTAGTGCCACTGAGTGTCTAGTATAACTGAGTTTTTCAAACACCAGCAACACTATTCTGAAGTACTTTTAGGAGATGAAAATGACCAAACTAAATCTACCTATAGCGAGCGTCGATATTCAGTACCTGTTTGAGCAGAATTGAAGGGCACATTTTTACAGAAGGGTCTTCTCGAAACTTCTTAATGCAAAGAATCTCTTAACCATTAGACTTTTGCTGAACAGGGAAAGCATTGTCACCACGGGTTAAAGAATAAGTCTAATTCCGATGAACCGTTATATATGAAGGGGAATGATGTCTGCATATGTTGAAGGTACCAAAGCTCATTTATTCAATTTTTTTAAAGATTTTGCTTCTTCAGATAATCGTCAGCACAGAAGACTTATGAAGCTTCATTCTATTCTTTTATGCCTGCACGATGAATTATGGATGCTTTACGCTCCGCCGTCAAAACTGAAAGAGTCAGAATTTCGGCCACACTTAAAAGCCACACTCCTCTCAAAACCGCACCAAAGATTTCAACCAAGGTCGGCTAGGTCCGCTTTGTGAGTAAAATATACAGTATTACAGGAAAGTAATGCTCAGTAGCCTTCACTTAAATGCCGTTGCACTTTCGGATTTCATCCACAGACTCAAAAGTTAAAACCAACTCGTACAGCATAATAAAGAGTACCAAAGGAAAGTACTGCTCAGTAGCTTTCATTTGAATGGTCACACTTTAAGATTTAATGCAAGACTCAAAGGTTAGCCCCACTTTCTACAGTATGATAAACATTACAACCTACTTTCGAATTTAATTCGTCAAGTCAGGACCATTTTGCAGAAAAGCAGGAAAATAATCTCTCTGGGGAAATATCTTTTCATACTATAAATGAACTTCAAAAACGTGAGTGTCGCCGGCTGCACAGTCAAGCTGGTGAAGAGCCATGACTGAATTTGGAAAACATTTGGAGAACATGTTTAGGTATTCGGTTCTACTTACTGACGCCTAATTATTTTTGCAAACATTTGTCCTTAAAAAAGAAGCGTTTCTCAAAAGACATGTTGCGCATAGTCGCATCATGATAAATATGCGGTCAACCAAAGGATTTTACTCTTTAATGTAATCCCTCTTTCGGCTCCTTTAGGGATTTCCTATCAGTAATATTTTGTTAACAGGATTTAAGGTGTATCTAAGTAATAGATTTTTCAGTCACTGAAAGGCTAAATGCAGTTTGTAGAGCATTAGAAATTATGAACGAATGAGGGCGATCGCAGTCCTATGCACCCGAGATGCACGAACGGGATAAAGCCGTTGAATTTTCCAAATGAAAACTGTTTGTTGAAACAATCGGTTAAATTGGTTAGTTTTTAACCTCCTTGAAAAAAGGAGTCTTACGCCATTTTCAAATTTTAATATGGTTCTTTGCAAAACCCCCGTAACTAAGTGGTTTCGTGAGATGACATGGGCAAAATTCAAAACGTCCCGGTCAAGCGTTTGATCACTTTGTTTATGGTTGAAAATTCATGATAAGGACCCTTTGTCTAGGAAATTTTGGATTAGCCATATTCCTAACCCTTGAAGCTTTTTTTAATTTGTTTGCTGTTTGTTCTAAGAGTGTTTCATTTTTCGAGACAAAAGTCAAACTGAGATATTCATGCACATTTTGGTTTTTCTTTATCCAGTTCTCGAAGCAGAGCACAGTGACCCAGTCGGCCACTAGATCCTCCGTTGCGACGGTCCAACCTCAGGAAGTTTTTCCTTTTTCTCCAAGGCCGAAATGAAAATTACAGATAATTATCATAATAAATTAGTGTGTTAGACTTGCTGTAAATCGAATAAAAATGGGTAAATTCTCAATTTTCGTTCAAAATGCGTGATTGACCAGCGATTTATTTTAATAAAGCCTCATAATTAAAAAAAACTGAGAACTGGCTCGATCGGTGGGTTGGCCTAAGTAAGTAGTAAGTAACTTTATGTGATAAAATTCATCATTGGGTCTCGGTCGTCGCAATCCGAACTTTGTAACAGTCACACGGTTACCCGCAACTTGTAATAGGAAGCAATATTCGCTGGTAACCCGGCGGAACTCGACTTTTCGAATTTCTTTAAATACATATTATCTGCGGATCATTTGAGCATATGTTGGTAAGTTTTTTTGAAAAAACCGAGGTTTTGTTCTTTAATTGGAAAGGTTTTTTTACTGCCACAATTTTACCTAAAAGTAAATACATCTTGGGAAATGAAATAATTGAACGTCTCATTTGCTGGGAAATAAACTGTGTTTTTTTACACACTTTTAATCAATTTTGTTGCTTTTGCAGCTGCGAAAACCGGAAAATCCGGCGGAAAGAAAAGAAAAGAAAGAACAGCCTTTACCAAGCATCAAATTCAAGAATTGGAAAACGAATTTCAGAGAAATAATTACTTAACCAGGCTCAGAAGATACGAGATCGCCGTGAGTTTAGACTTGACAGAAAGACAGGTCAAAGTTTGGTTTCAAAACCGCCGAATGAAATGGAAACGCGTGAAAGGAAAAAGATTGGAAAAGAAACCCTCGACAAATCGACTGAGCTCAAGTTCCGATGAGGATAAAGCGAAGGAAATTCATATGTAGCATATAACCTCTGCATAACCTGTAGCTTCGGAGTTTAAGGCTTGTAGAAGATCAGATTTGTCTCAGTACACTAAACCGGGTATGTTACATTCCTGCCCAATATGGCGCTAGGCGGCATCAACTGATATGCACTGATTTTAGCCGTTGCCGTAATAGTGGCACTAGGTTTTCGCGTTGGAAATATATATTTATGTGGATAACATCTAGAAAAAAAAATATTTTCCGTTTGTTTATTGTTGTTGGCTATAATAAAGTCTATCATTATAACTTGTAATATACTCTGACATGCGTTCATTGTTTCGTTCAACGTTTTTATCAAGCAGCCGATTTTTCAGCTCCGTAACAGTATTTTGGGTGGGGCCAGTCTTAGTAGATGGGAAAATAAGATGGTGTTGGTCAGTTAAAGTTCTTTAGCCTTTCGTAGTTTCTGATCTTCTTGAAACATTTTCAGAGTAAACGTTCATCTGTGTCGTAAAAAAATGAAATGTCTTGGAGAAATCATTAACAAACCTCTTAAAATGGATTTCGTGATCGTTCCGAATGATACAGATACTATTTGTCATAGAAGAGACATGCAATTGTCAGCAACAAAACGAGCATACAATGTTAACAACAAAACATTAACGATATTTCCTCTCAGTTGTACTTTTAAGTATCTGAATAAAATTGTTCTTATTCAGAAAATATTGATTTCGTGATCTGAGCTGATAGCTGTCTTATTAGTGCAACCATTTAGTATATATATATATATATATATAAGACATACCAAAAGCTTATCAAAACTATTTCAACACATGCATACAATCAATGATACAGCCCACAAGAGCAGATTATTTACAATGGCGGGTATGCATTAAAAGCAAAATTACAGAGAACTGAATTAAATTTAAGGTAATTCATGTATACAAAACAAAGGACGCAGCACAGGCGTCCCAAACTCAAAAATGCCGGACGCGTGTTAAAAATTATATTTACATCTGCTAATACGTAGCGTTTAATAGGGTTAATATGGAAAAAAATTGGAAAAAAAAATGGAAAAATATCGCATTATCTAAGCTTATCTTGTAGCAAAGAAGTAAAATAAACTTGTGAAGGTTAAGACAGGATATGGCAAAACCAGCTCAAAACGCTTCAAACCGACACAGGAACACAAAGTACAGCAAAAGTAAGTTTATTTTAATTTTTTGTTACAAGATAAGCTAAGGCAAGACGATATTTTTTTCTATCATTTTTTATCTTTCCCCGGTAAAAAACTACGCGTGTTACTCATATTAGCAGATGAGTTAATCTTTAACATGCGCTCACATGTCGAGTTTGGGACGTTTGTGGACGCAGCCGCTTATCATTAGGCTCTGTTAATCCCGTTAACTACGTCGCAAGCGCGGATGGTGAGCAGTATTTTGTTTTCTCTTAAGGTTAACTCACAGAGACGCAAATGGGGTCAATTCAATCTTTAAAAGCCCTTTACAGCGTTTACCCACCGATTTTCTGTACGATTCTTTTTCGCCCTTTTTGCGTCTGCGACAATTTCCGGCGGTAGCCACTTAATTTAAACAAAGTGAAAGAAGAAGGAATCTCTTCACATTTCACTTTTTACCTCGCTTCAATTCCTTTCGGTTCTCGGCCGTCTCCAAATGTATGTCGGCAACCAGTCCATTTGCCATAATATTTCAATTTTTGGTTTGTACTCTATGTTAACTGGGTAATCGGTTTCTACCCGATAAATTTTGGGGGGCAATTTTCGACTCTAAGAAAGGTGATTAATATACACAAAAGAGCCCAAACAAAGAAACACTCTCTTAATAAACCCAGACAGTGTCAATTTTTAGACTCAGTTTTTTATTTTATCTAATAAGGATTTACCGTTCCCTTTCCGAAAATCTTTTTGGCACCTGATTAATATGACAGGTATAAATATCCATATGAGGTAATCATGTCAAAGCAGGTGCTAACGAGATATTGAAATTCCAAGGCAACCGCATCCTTCACTGAGGAAATCAGCTAGCTGCCATTTTTATAAATCGTTGTAGCCAGTTATAAAACCAGAGGATGGCAATTTTTTTTTGTTATGACAATCTTATAGAAGAATTCAAACCCGGTTTTAGTACTAAAAAGACCACCCAAAAATAGAACCAAATGGCGCAGCTCAGCTCGCTTTAGTTCAGAGGAAAATATTTCAGATATTTCGGCTGCCTTCTTCGTGATTAAGACTACGATGAAAGAAGCCCAGAGATTAATGCCTGTATTCCCGGATAAGTGACAGATTCTAGAGCATGTTATAGCAAAAGACACACAAAAAGGATGAATATCCGCAATCATTAAGAAAGCAGGAAAGTTTCCAAATAAGCGCATACTTCTACGCACTTTGAAGTTTGTTTTTCCTCGTAAAATCACAGTTTATTTTTCAATAGGAAGAATTAAATCGTAATATTTGCGCTGCTTTTTTTTTTTTTCGACAACCTTATTGCGGGTAGGGGAAAGGGGTAAGTACATCTGATTGTTGTAGAAAATCAGTAAAATCAGTTTTAGAAAGCGCATATTATTTCCAACGCCATCGAATTTACGATGCCCGGGGCGAGCAACTTCCACACTAAGCTTATGTCACGGCGTTTTCACGGACCAATTTATTTCTAGACACATTTAAGGGCGCTTTTTTCCGCGAAAATAAAACCTCCACCATGTCTATGAGCTCATTCGAAGTATAAGACATCAAAATGGAAAACTAAACGTTTACTTATTAAAAGGCAAAAAAATCATTTTAAGGTCTATAGGTTTTGCTGACTAGTTTGTGGAATTTAAAAGATTTTCAAAATTCGCGCCAAAACCGTTCTAAAAATAAACTGGTCCGTGAAAACGCCGTGACACGAGCGGATGGAAGATGCTCGCTCCGAGTCATGGGCTCCTGGCGATGGATATTAAACGAATACTTCGTATTGCATCAAACCCCTATGTTTATTGGAACGAAAACCTGAAAAACTAAAACTTGTTGCTGCTGTTATTTGTTTTACCTATGTTTAAAAACGCAAGGAAGCAACAACACATGTTTGGCTCCTTAGAGAGATTTTCGTATGACCTTGAAATGAAATCGCGCGAACAAAACGGAAAAAAAACCGAACGGAAATAAAGCGATTTGATTGGTTTATCGAACGGATACAAACGCGCGTGGCTTTTGGTTGGTTAAGCGAACGCTCGGGAAAAAAACTTCATGCCTGAGAACTTTCTAGAAATCAATCGATACTTCACTTTGACGTCATACTGCAACACGATTGGCTAATCGAACAATGCCTTCTCCATATTAGGGTTTTCTTTGGCGGGAAAACGAAGAGTCCAAGTTTTGATCTTTTCATCCATTGCCTGATAAAACAAATAACGAACACTTACCGAAACCATTTTTCAAGGTCATACAAAAATCGCTCTATCACAGAGACCACCAAATCAACCTCGTTACCAGTTTTAGAGGGCTTTACATCCTGACATACCGGTTTGCATTCCAACTATGCCACATAACTAAAAAAGGGAAAACTAGTGGAAGTCGAGAGCAAAAATGGTTCATAACTCGAAAAACAATTTAGAAGATAAAAAGCTTTTTTCTTGCGTAAAGGTTTTAATGGTTTTTATTAACGGCTCTTGATGGAAAGGCTCTACTAAATTCACGCTCAGTTTTTCTCATTAAGGTGGACTTTATTTTCTCAGAGAAACTGAAGGTAACTTTAGATACTCTTGCTTCCAAAAACCTCTTTTTGCACCAACTGAGGATCCAGATATCAGTAACGTTATTGCAGAGGGTGAAACTGGACCGCCGTTCCAAGAATTGTTGCTAGTGCCCCTTTTAGTTTCCTCAAATAATTGGTGACACTTTACTGTATGGAAATGTTTTCTTGATGTTTAGTAAGGAGGAGAAAACCGGAGCCCTCGGAGAAAACCCTGTCAGTGCAGAGAAGAAAAACATCAACAGACTCAACCTATACATGGAGTAATGAAGGACGAGAAAATTCCTATGACAAAGAATAACAATTCCCATTGCGCATGTTCGTTCGGAATTTCTGGCAATGTTATTTTGGGCGTGGCCTGGGGAGGTGAGTCAAGGAAGCCCATTGAATAGGGGTTAAAGTGATTCCGTTTAGTTGTCTGCTTACATATTTATTGCGATAGAAAGTCAAATGATATTCAGTGGAGGTGATAGTCCATAGCGTTGGAAATGAAAATGGGTAGACCGATTATGGTGTTCAGGGATAAGTCTATCCATTCGTTACCTACTCGAAATTTTGAGAGGCTCAAGACTTCGATTTCAATGTCAACACAGTTTTTTTTTCAGTTTACTACATCAAAGCAGCACGATTTAGTTCTCGAATGCCTTAACAAACATTTCACTACCCTAATTCGTGATAAGACTTAACATAGTTGACTAGTGACAAAAAAACAACAGCAACTAAAACAGCCTTGAGACGCTAGTTGTTCAAAAGGTAGATAACACTGTCCACTGGATAAATCTCCTGTTGGATAACCCAATTGGTTTCCCTACTTCTTATCTGCTGGGTAGTGATTTATCCAGTGGATAGTGCCATGAAAGTTTGAACAACAAGCCGTGGTCAGAAAAACAGAATTAATTAAGTGACCGCAAGTGTTAAGCTAATAAAACCAAAACCTACTAACTCCTACACTCTAAACTCCTACTATATGACATGCAAGTATGATATCAAACTCAACCTACTTAGTCACACTGCGTGATATTGCCTTATACACCCATTGAAGTCTAGAAGTGAAAAACATTTTGGCTTTCTTTCATATCAGCCGGGTTTCCAGAACATGCTTTATAGTGTACGTTTTAAACATGAATCAAGTGGAGGTGAGGTGGTGGGGAAGGGAGAAAGCGGGAGGAGTAGGATGGCAACGAGAGACGTGATTGAAAAAAGTAGAGAAATCTCATGAAAAATAATGAAACACCATTACGATAAATGTCGGCCTGAAAGCGGACTATCTGTCGTTCCATTATTGTTCCT